ACAATTCATATTGTGACTACTTTTTATAACCAAGTAAATAGATGAATACAAGTTTTTATTGGCAAAGGTGGATCATTCATTCATTTGACAAAGAAACAACAACAACACTAGTGTACTTAACAATTAAAGACAACATAATACTTGCTTCTTCTTTTTTTTCCAGTTAGCCACCTTATAACAATTAAAAACTCTAATGGAGAGAAACAACAACTTTTTGTGCAATCTCAGCTGCAATGGAAAATTGATTTCTTTGGAAATTTGACCTTCTTTTTACAAGACCCCTTGATTATGACATTGAAAAATGAGTACAGGTAAGCAAGTAGATGGAAACTTAAAATGATCATAATTCAGACTCACAAACTCGTCTAAGAGAAGACCTTGACTCCACAAAACACTACCCTTTTGAAGATTTATCTCTACCAACATTGTTTAAAAACTTTTGGCTCTTGTTCTACATAAGCATGCATAAGAATAAAGCAAATTCATAATTACCACAAATAATATGGCATTACAAGCAAAAAAAAAGAAAGAAACTTTTAAAGGCAATACTTACCGCAACAATTCTTTGCCTCCTATTCTAAACATTTTTATTATATCATCTATCAATATCACTTAAATATATTAGAGTTTCAATAAAAGACTTAAAATAATACAAAATTCTCTACAATATAAAGTCAAAGCACACCTAGTGTCATGTCCACACCTACAATGAACCTCTCGATTGTATTTGGTTTTTCAATAAAAGACTTAAAAGTAATGCAAACAAGTTCATGACAAGTATTGAACAAAAAAATCAGAACCAATTACAAGGAAAATTGTGACAAATGACATCAAATTGGTAAAATAGATATATACGTGTACTAATTATAGAGTTTTTCTTTTTTGTTCATTTGTTTTAAAATGTCATAGGAAATTACTCTTTGCACTTTCTTTTTTGTTAGTTGCAAAACATTTTTTTAGGTCAATTCCAAGATTACTAACCTAGAAGTTGACTTGTAAATCACTCTTAGAAGCTTAAAAACTAGTTTTTAAGTTAATTTAAAAGATTATTTAAAACATTTTAGAAATAATACAAAAAAGAAGTTAGAAATAGAGTGATGCAAAAAATAAGCCAATAAACCTACTTCTAAATAGATTGGCTTTTTTAAACAAACAGGCAATGACAATAATTTAGACTCCATAATATTGATTTATGGCTTATCAAAATATCAATTTGGGGGTCATAACATTAAGGTGACATGTTTAATTGTCCTCCAAAAAGGGCAAAATGAAATTTTTTTTGGTGTCAAAGCTCTCTTCTTTGAAGATAACCAATAACATATAATTAGAACAAACAAAACAAAAAGAGACAAATAAGTACCTTTTAAGGGCAAAGATAACTTCAGATTCATCATAACCATGTTTTGTAACCTTGTCAAGCTTAAATATCAATTGGTAACAATCCTGAAAATGTGATTGCAACAAAACAAGGGAAATTGAGAAAAGAAACCTATATACATTCTTTCTTTCACCTCCAATTATTCAAAATATCTATATTCATAACAAATTTACAACACGACTAATTGAAAAAGTTATTAGAAATAGTCTTCATATTCATATTCTTATAATCAAAGTAGGCCAGTTAGCAACACCAATAAGGGACACAATAATGTTAATAGGAGCAATCTTTCTTTCTCTCACAGAATTTAGGAGAGGTAACCTTGTGTAACAAATTTATGCACTAATGTGAACTTTTTTTTTTTTTTGGATTATTTTGTTTTTGCATTTTACATTGGGAATACTCGTAAGAAATTAAGAATGTAGTGCAACATAGGCAGATAAGAATATGCAGAATTTGAACCAAAAAGCCATATACCTGTAGCATTTGTCACAAAAAAAAATATTTAGCATTCAGCATCTCAGTAAAACTGAAATTCTTTTAAACATCTTATAATTGAACTGTTTTATTCAATATCAAGGATCAAGTGAAAAAAATGTTTCAGCTCTTACAATCACCATTTCACATTGCAAGCACCTTGTCTCATTGGTGAGTATTTCCTGGTCAAAGCAAGTTACAACAATAAAATTCCTCAAAATAGAAGTAAATATTTTTTTTTTTTATCAATACAAAGTAAAAGCAACAACACCCCTCCTCTCAAGAACATATATATATATAACAAATCACACATGGTTAATGTCCATTAATTATTATGAACTTGCAAACTAATATTTAAATATCCAGGAAAGTAACTATTTTTGCATGTTGTGAACTTGCAACAGATGAAAGGTCAATACAAGTATGCAACTTTTCACACATTTGTTAGTTTCTCCATCCAAGCTCCAACACCTACAAATATGTATGCATCTTCTCGGGTCATTAACCAAAATTTCAACAAAAAATGCATATAGAAGAATGGACCATCTTCTTGGGTCATTAACCAAAATTTCAACAAAGAATGCATACAGAAGAATGGAACGTGAAATACGATTGAGATGGTGAAAATAGAAATAATCCTTAAACTACATATACATAACTCCTCCTTAAAAAACTTTTCGTCCTTGAAATTATGAAAAATTTACAAGCTGTGAGAAATTGAGAAAATTTAAAAATTTTCAAACTTCAATTAATAATTACAATTGAAGACATTGCTATCCTTCATTTTCAATTTTTTGCTTTTCAAACTTCAAATCCAAAACCCTAGCACCAAAGAATTAAGTTATATTTCAACATTTAAAATCAAATAAACATTGTTAGAAAATTTAAGTATAAAATCAGCGATAATAGAAGGAAAAAAAAAAAAAGCTAACCCAAAAGTTTGAGGGAAGAAGAAGAAAAGAACAAAACAAAAAAAATAAACCCAAAAGTTTAAGTGAAAAGGATGAAATTGAAATGTGCTAAGGTGTTTTTTATATGAGTGCGAAAAAGAGTACTTGAACGAGGTTTTCCATTAAAAATATACCATAGCATCTTTCCATGGCTAACATCTAAAGCAACAAAATTTTAGTAAAGATAAGGATGACAATGGGTAAGGTATGGGTAGTGTAGTACCCATCCCCAGCGTTAGTAGTAATTTTAATCTTTATACCCACACTTTCTAAATACCCGCATACTTATACCTATGTCTGTTACCCATGTTATTCTAAGAAAAAAACACTTATAAAAAAATATGCTTATATAATTTTACATAAGTAACATAATAATACAAAAGTTTGATATAAAACAAATATTCAAAAATCACAATTACTAAGTGTATTTAAATACATTAACTTTTTAAACTATAAGCAAAATTTAACACATAATATTCAAGATCTCCTAAAATAACTAACTCATAAATTTGAGATTTATGTAATGTCACTCTAAGACCTAAAAAAAAAAATATTAGTTAATCATTTATTGTAAAGTCAAAATAATAGATTTAGTTAAGCTAACTTTTTGCACACATAAGTGCTTTCAAAGTATCCTTATGAAGCTGAGAATGATGAGAATTGAACAATCTACTTCTTGTACTAAAAGGAAACTCTGGAGCAATCGTTGAAATTGGGATTACCAAAATATCTTCAATAACTTTTTGCAATATCGAATATTTGATCCCAATTTCTACTACGCAAGGATATCAAAATTAGTACTTCTAGGCAATGCCTTTTCTTTCAAATAGATGTCTAACTTAGACTTTAATCACTAAATTTCTAAACATTTTGGATGTGTCATATATAAATAATTTTTTTAAAGAAGTCAATATCATATCAAATATGTAATAATTAATTTGTATTAGTCTAATTAAATGATATAAAATAGTAAATAATTTTTTTAATAAAAATATAAAAAAATATTTTTATGATTTACTTTATTGATAAATATATTTTTATTTTAATCTTATAAAACAAGTTTAATTAGATAGAGTTTTATATATTTAAATATGCATTTTTTTATTTCAGTAAGATACATATTTATATTAAATTTCTCAACCTTTTATTTTGTATAAAAAAATTTGAAAACAGAAAATTATAAATTAAAAGACAATATTACTCAAAAATTCAAAATAGAAAATTTGTCTATTCAAAAAATAAAATAATTATGGCCTATAAAAAACTCTAAATTAAGTAAAAAATATAAGACATGAAATTATATAAAATAAATAATAAAATCTTTATCTTGACCAAAATTTTACAAAAGCATCCACAACAAATTTTCCAAAAACTAAAAGTGAGTTACGTTTTTGTTTTCTTAAATTCTTAGTTATTCCATTGTAAGTAAAAAATTATTCAAACAAGATTACATAAAATTAGAACAATAGAGATAATTAGAAATATCAATAATAATTATAATAGAGTTGTAGACTTACTTGTTGAAGTCTTAACCTTTGTATTAAAGTTTTTTGAATTATATGAGAAGTTATAGGTTATATCTTTCTCTCTAAGTTAGACTTCTAAAGCATAACTCGCAAGTTGTGAAATAACTTATATGATTATAATCATTGACTTTAGACGAACTTAGCCAAATATATAAAATATTAAATATTAACACATTTCTCTTTTATCACAACTTTTGAGTTGAAGCATCATTCACATAAATAGTATAATTAATAATATTATATATATATATATATATATATATATATATATATATATATACGTATGGGATGGGTGGATAATTGGTACCTATACCCGTATCTATTTCAATTAAAATTTGTAAGTATTTTTCTACTCCTGTACTCGTACCTATTTAATGGTAAATATCCTATTCATTGAGAATAAATTTTGATGTAAGCATTGTCATCTCTAAGTAAAGAAAATAAAATAGTAATATTTTTCATTAGAAATACTTTTTTATTTTAAAATAAATATAACGAGTTTTTTTATAATAAAAATTAATTTATAATAAAAATAATTTTAAATTAATTAAACCAATCATTTTAATTCAAACAGGTTGGTACCTACCAGATCAAGCACCTTCATAATATAGGTTGATGGAAGCACTCTTTATAATATTTCATCCTAAAACTGCCTAATACTGAACTTTGGTGTGTTTGGCTTTGGTGGTTGTTACTGTGAGAAAGATGACGTCGTTTGGGTCTCTGAAAGCCACCATCTTCGACAGAGAAGAGAGAAAACAGTGACTACATTCTATCTTTGTTTTCCCTCTTTCTTCTTCTTTTCCATATCCATTACTATAACCTAATGTCAATCGCAATCGCAGGCAGTATCAATCGCATATTCGAGGCCTCAATGCCTACGACCGCCACAAAAAATTCATCAACGACTACGGTAGTGTATTTTCCACATTTCAAATCTTCACTTACATTCTGTACTTGTTGAGCCTGTTTCTGTTAGAAATTTCTTAATTATTTATTACCTCTATTTTTAAATAAAATACCTCTTGAAAATTTTGCTGTCTCGTGATGTAATTTTAACTGCTGTATGTTTTAGATGCCGTTTGGTTTAGGGTTGATGGACAATTAAGAATCTAATGATCAAATTATGAGCTCTTAATTTGGTTGGATCCTAATAATGTCCTACAGCAAATGGATGATGAACAGGTTCCTCCACTGAGATGGAAGGAGGCTACAATCATCCTCATATTGAAATACCCTTCTATAGTAAATGTGCCACTGATTTTTCTTTTGTTGCTAGAACCTAGTTTGAATTAGCTTCTAGCTCATGAGAGCTTTTCAATATAGCTTGTGGGAGCTTACTAATAGGCCCTTTTGAGTATATTGGTGTTTATGAAGAAGTTGAATGAGGGAATTTTTTAAGAAATTGAAGTACATAGAAGTTTGATTCATTTTACTTCCTTGATTCTTTTTATTTTGATTTCTCTTACCATTCAAACTAACTATGGTTCTACCAATTCAAGAGAAAGAAGTGCTCTATAGTCTAGCAGACAAGTTTGTCTGTATTCTTTTGTATTCCTTGGCTTAGTGACCAGGATTTGTTCATTGGTTTGTGACCAGGAGGCTTAGCTTGGTTTGCTATAGCCTCATGGTGGCATCTTCAGTTGTTTAAAGATTTTATCATTTCTGTTGCCATTGTTGTTCTTACAGAACTTTTTATCTCATTGTAGTTTACTGAAATTATTAAGTGGTAAATGCTTAAAATAAATTTAACATCATGGTCCTGCTGGAGAATATTTCAGTTTCCAGTGAAATTTCAGCTTAGGTTTTTTTTTTTTTTTTTGGGGGGGGGGGGGTGTTAATTCTATACTTTTCCAGCTAGAAAAATTTTTTTTTTTTTTTTTTACAGTTAATTTCTATGGAAAAGAAAGACCTTCAAACATAAAGTTGCCTATTAAAACAGATCAAGATACACTAAGAGAAGGATACAGGTAAGCTTCTTCTCTTACTGTCTATAAGCTAGCACTATAGGGTATGTCTTTTTTTTTTCAGTTATATTTCTAGAGTCTGTTGGCTTGTCATTATGTCTCCTCTGCTGTTGTAGCAAAAGAAATGAGCCTTCCTCTTCATTTTCTTCCTGTTATATTTTAATTATTTTCTTAAATATTGTAGAACCATGATCCAAAAGGTGCTCCCTTTTGCAAAGTAGTTCCCTGAATAAACCTGAGTACGCTTTTATGGCATTGGTGGGTACTCCCCAACTGACATAGAAAATAGGAAAGAAGTTAACTATCATCACTCAAAGCTGTTAACTGATTACACACAGCCTATTTATAGGCCAAATAAACCCTAATCCCAAGATGGGCCCAAAACAGAAAAGCTCAATCAAAATAAAGTCTAAAACAAAAATAAAACCTAAATAGACAAATAATTCCCAAATTAACACCCTAATTATAAAATCAAATCCCGAATTAACAAAACAAATAAATAACCAATCTACATCATTAACACCATTTTCAAATTTAGTGGCTGTCTCTTGTATCCTTTTGAGATTTTCTTGTGATATCATGATACATTTGCATGCATTTTTTAAACTCTCATGAGTGATTTGACCTAGCTGCAAGAGTGAAATAAAAATTAATGGAGTGCTTAAATTTGGCACTATTACGAAATCATCCTTTCCCTATCAATAGCAGAATGGGCTTTTATCATTTGCTGCAAGTTCAGATCTATTGAAACTATTGTCAACATGAGTAAATTTTCCCCCATACTTATGATCTTTTTGGAGAATTTTTTATGAATTTCTTTCATCCAAATGTATTGCAAGATTCATACGGTTGGAGGAAGATGATATGAATCCATCGTGGGAACAAAAGCTGGTGAAGCGTTATTATGACAAGCTTTTTAAGGAGTATCCTTCGCAAACATGTTCATTTTTTGATGAAAACTATTCATACTTTAGGAGTGATGGTTTCTTTTATTTATTTATATATTTAATTCTGTAATACTGGCATTTGGTTTGGTTATAAATTTGGTTAAACTAATTAGGATTTGGTGTGATTTTATACTATTTTTATCCTCTTCAAATCAGTCTTCTATTGATAGGATATATGAAGTTGTTGGCTTATTATTGACATTGGTTTTGATTCACAGTAATAGAAGCAATACATTTGTGGAGTCTTAGTAATTATCAGCAAAATAGTCTTGTGTAAGCTCAACATTCTTTTTGGGTTAACTTCTCCTCTCTCTCTCTCTAGCATGTTTGGATGGGTGTTGAAAACTCCTAAAATCACATTTGAAGATGTAAACATGATTTAGAATTTGTGCCAACATGTTTGGAAATTATATATATATATAAAGATTTTACCTCTAAACTCATGTATGGACCAATGTGAAAAATATTAGTTGTACCAAATTTTACTATAAAATCTTACTTTCAAGAGAAGTTTCTAAACATAAATCATTTCACACTTTGAGTTTTCAAAATCAATTTTACAAACACTCAATTAAACACACTAAGTAAACCTGCAATCTCTTTGCTTATGGCAACAAAGACTAAGTAGATACCATCATTACAAGTTACAACTGTGATCTGTCCTTCCAGAACTATTATGCATTGCATTGTCCCATATAATGTGAAATCATTTGGGTCATCCCATAGAGCACAACATCTCCTTTTTCCTCTCTTTGATATCTTATCATTCTCCTGTGGTCCTGCCTGATCAACTTGGAGCATTTTTTCCTGGCACCTCATACTCCAGGAGTTTATGAATGTATATTTGTTAATTTTATTTGTGCATATTTACCACGAAAGTGGTTATGATGTGGAGTTTGTTGTTGGGAAAAAGAGAACTATTATTTATTTGTTTGATCATAATTTGCAACTTTGCATTATCCAACCAATTGTACTTTTTACCTTAAATCCTTTTAAGATACTGTCTTGCTGACATGTCACAGTACAAAAGTGGTAAGGTAATTACTCATTACTCATAGAATATATTTTTGTGGAATTGCTAAATTTTGCAACCTTTTATACTAATTTAAAACCCTGTGTTGATCTTCCAGAGGTGTGGTCAGTATCAATTGAGCTCTTAACAATTTTTTTATGTTAGTTTACTACCTGGGAGGCAATTTTTTTAATATTGCCTCCAATTGAATCATCGTGTATTTTCCAGGTGAAGCAAACAAAGTGTACAGAAGGGCACAATCTATTCAGGGCTTGATTGATGCTTACCCTCTCTCTTTGGACAATCAAAATAATGGTTTTATCTATTTGTATCTAGTTTTGGTAAATCTCACTGGGACCTTGGGGTGGGAATTTATAACCTGTTTCTCTACCTTTCTGTCTAGATGGGGAGGTGGGTTGCTACTATATGTCTAGAATCCACAAATGCTCCTCCTGTTTTGGTCTATCCTAACTTATTTATCTTGCTGGCTAAACTTTTAACATCTTTGTATGAATATTTCCGTTCTAAGACACCTGTGAAAGAGGATTGTAATATTTTTTTTTTATAGATAACAGCAATTAATTGGTAATATTATATTGTGAACGATTCAAAATTCTTTGAAATAGAAGGGTTTTTATCTTCATGTCATTTTCATGGGATGTTGGTTATAGAGAGGTTTTATGAACTCTAGAAACTATTTTTTATGAGGAATATATCTTTAGAGATTGCATACTGATAAATTGCATTTTCATGTTAGATTGGTCTCAGGTGGAGGACAGAGAAGGAAGTCATATCTGGCAAAGGTATTGATTATTCTTTCATTGGCTAGTTTTACTTAGTTTTGATTCTCCTGCTTTCTTTCTTTGTCTCACTAGAACAATATCCGAAAACAAGTGCTTTCTGATTGTGTTCTTTCCGTAGATTACATATAATTATTATGCAAAGAAACTCATCAATTGAAACTAATGTCTGAGTTATGAAGTTTAATTGAATGTTGCCTACTTTGTACATCAATAGAATGTCAATCATTTGATCAACTAATCTTTTGATTATCCAATTGTTCTATACCTGATTCTTTTTGTAGAAAGCACACCATTTTAGAGAAAATAATAAAATATGATGTAGAAATTGTTGTTTTTGAAAGGATACTCTATTAATTATGTCCCTTTTTTATGAAGTTGTTGGCCTTCTCTTTGTAGTTGATTTTGAAAGCCTGTGTATGATTTTGGTTTCTCTTGTTCTAATTGCTCATATTTTTCAATTGTTAAGCGTTAAATCGCTTTCCACAAATTTTGTTCAATAATTATTCAGAATGTAACAGTTTTATGTGGTATTGATTAATTTGATTTAAATCGATTTCAAATGGAAAAAATCTGTAATGAGAATGGGTCCTTTTTTGAAATATCAAGTTTGTTTGATAACTTCCTTAATTTTCTTCTAACTTTTCACTGTTCTTTCTGTGAATTCTGGCTGTGTTCCTCTGGTTTGTGTGATTGACCATGTTTATACTTTTTCATTTGCTTCTCTGTTTGTAATGTTGTACAAATAGTTGTCTTTAGTTTGTCTTATAGTTTAGAATCCTGTTCACTTTAAAAATTGATTGCTTTCAGAATTTGACAGGCCAATTTATATGTGGTAACAAGCATTGCAATGAGAAAGATGGATTAGCAAGCTACGAGGTAAATTTTCTTCCTATTACCATTAATCAATCAATTTCTAGTAACATGGGGGGATAAAATGAAGATAGTCCAATCAAAGGGGGAGGAAAGACCTAAGAAAATCTTAGAAAAACTCATCAAGGATTTCATTCTAATTACTAAAACTTGACTTTAGATAGTCAAAGGGCATGATAATGCTTGAGAACTGAAGAGATGTACTATGTGTATATCACCTCAAGTGTTTCCACTCCTTATACCATCTGCTTCATATTACAGGTGAACTTTTGTTACTTTGAGGCTGAAGAAAACAAACAAGCCCTCGTTAAATTGGCAACATGTGAGAGGTGAGTCAGTATATGCCAATACCGGTTTTGTTGCATATGCTATTGTTCTCTTCTTTACTAGATATTGACTTGCCAATACTGCCACCTACCTGGTCAATCACTTTCCTTCTCAGTCAATTGATGGAGCAGTACCATACACTAAGCTCTTTAGAAAAGAGCCTAACTATCTTCATTCGTCCCTATAATCAGCATAAACTAGAGTTTCACTCTAAAGAGTGTATTTTCCTTGGGTACTTGAGTTCGCACAAAGGATATAAGTGTCTCTCTTTTGACGACAAAATATTTATCTCCAAAGATGTTCTTTTCAGCTTCATTTCCATCATCACCTTCACCTCTTGTGATCAAAAGGCCTTTCATGCCCATCACAACTACCACAAATATCGATTTAACATCTTTGCTTGACAAAGAGACGTGGTGTTGCAAACCATAATCCTTCAGCTTCCAGTCTTGTTACACAACAGAACCCTTCATTTCTCTTCCAACAAGCTAGTCTCTACTGACCCAATGGAGACTCACTCTGTGTCTAGAATTACCAAACCTAAACGCAATCATGCTCTTCTTTTAAGCATGTTGAACCAACCTCACTAAAACATGCTCTCTTTGATCCTCAGTGGCATTCTGTAGTGAAAGCTGAATTCTTAGTTCTATTAGCTAACAATACTTGGTCACTAGTAACTATTCCACCAAACCGACAGGTTATTGAGTGTAAAAGGGTGTTTAGAGTTAGAGAAAATCCTGATGGCTCCGTTAATAAATGCAATGCATGCCTTGTTGCAAAAGGATTTCATTAGCAGTATGGTTTTGACTATACTGGGACAATTTTTTCCTGTTGTGAAGCCAGCTACAGTAGGAGTCATGTTCACTCTGGCCCTAACTAACAAGCAAGGTTGTTAAACTTGAGAGTTTACATAAACTCGAAGAGTGTTCATAAACTTGTAAGAGTTTACCTCATGGAAAAGTTATATTTAAAAAGTTACAATAATGAAATAAAGCTCAATAATAAAGTTAAAATCATACTTAAATAGTCAAATCATATAATGATAATGTGATTTTGGTCCCCCACTTGTAAATGTGGTGTTTCACAACTTGCGAAGAATGAAGAAAAGTTGTACCCAAATTCCAGATGATGTTATTTTGGTGAAAGAATATGATTTTCTCTTTATTTTGGTAAACCTGTAAAATTAGGTGTAAACAGCAAACTCACAAGTTTACCCAAGTTTATTCAAAAACAAGTTTACATACACAAAAATCAGCTTTAATGTAAATAAGGCTTGCCAATTTCTCTCTCAGGCCCTTGAAAACCATTGGAAACTTGTAAAGTGAATCCTTCAGTGTCTTGAAACCATTCTCACCTATGCCCTTCACTTTAAACTTGCTCCTAACCCTGGTCAGTCAATGATTCCTGCGTTTTGATATGCTAATTGGGCATTGGATCCACCGATCCAGATGATTGTAGATCCACCTCTGGTGCTTGTGTTTACTTTGGGCTATGAAACCTAGATACTTGATACGACATCGATACGATACAAATACGGGGATACAGAAAAAATTTAAATTTCAAGATACGATACAGCTTAGATACTTTAATATGAATTTAATGAAATAATATTTATAAAGTGATATTGATAATTAATTTATATTAATGTTTTACGTTTACATATCAATGATCACATTTTACAAAAAAATACATACAATCATATTTTTTCCTTGTCTATGAACACATCAAAAAATTACATACTTTACCCCCTATTCAAGTTAGAATTCCATAAAAGAAATGGTAGTTCTATCCAAAAGAAATATAGAATTATCACAAAAAAAATATCCTGCCTTTATACTATTTAATTCTAACATTGTCACACTCATTTCCTCTATCCCCATCGTCTACAAAAAACATAACTTCTAAATCTAGTTCATCAAGAGATAATTCAGCCAATTCAAGAAATCCAGCACCATTATCAAGTAAATCATGTACATCTCCCCTAATATTCCACATCCTTGTCTCTCCTTTAGTATACTTTTCTTCTTTCCTAGACAAAAGACGAAAGTTGGATTGCACATAAACCAAATCTTCAGCCCTTTTTGGATCCATTTTGTTTCTCTTCAAAGAATGAATGAACAAGTACGCATTCCAATTCCTCTCACAGCAAGATGAGGAACAAGGCTGTATAAGAAGCTTTAAGGCAAGCTTTTGAAGTAAAGGGGTAGAAGATCCATGCATTACCCACCAAGATTTTGGGTCTAATGTCCACCTATCTTCAATTGAATCAAAAGAAGCAAAGTCACCTGCACAAGATGAGAAATTCGAGAATTCAACAAAAACATTTTTTCTTTCCTCAGCATTAGGAAAATATCTTTTCAAACATTTGTTCCTTTCTCTCGAAACTTTATCATCTTGATGTGGAGAAACTCTATTTGGAGTTTTCCTAAACCATTCTTTACTATAATACCTACATATGATTAAAAAGTTTGTTATAGTATAATTTTTATTTTTGAAGAGACAGTAACTAAGTTGAAATTTACCTTGGGTTCAATGAATAAGCCAAACAATGAAGTGGAGTACAACTCTTGCTCCATCTAAAATTCCGTATATTATGAACCACATCATAAAAATTGGAAACCTCATTTGCTTCCTTTTTCTCATGCCTTTATATGATTGTCTTCACTTTTTCAATCATGGAATCCCACATTTCATAGACCAAATGAAGAGTATAAGCATCTGTCACATTTTCTAAGCATGCTATATATAGGATCTGTGAAAAAAAGAATTTAATCTAATTTATCCCACCATATATCATTTAAAATAAGTTCTTTCACATGGGCAGCTTTACCAACATCATATTCTCTATAACTATTCCATTGGTCACTAATGACCATATTTTGCAAAGCACGTTTCAACAACTTCAATCATTTAGCATGACAACCATTGATGCAAAACGGGTTTTAGTAACAGAAAGCAATTTAAGAGAAGAAAACTCACTAAAAATAGTCAATTTCATAGAGAGTCATTATGAAAGTCTTGATAAAAGATGCATCATCAACTAGGAGAGTGATCTAATGACACTCATTGAAAACATTTTCATTTCCATCAATATTTCTAGTTGTACATATGTTTTTCAATGTTAAATTCAAAGTATGAACGACACAAGGAGTCCAAAATACATGATGAAACTCAGCTTCAATTAACATCCCAGCTGCCTTACAAACAGGAGCATAATCCGTTATGATTTGAACAACATTTTTTGGCCCTACTTCATTAATTACATCCTTTATTATGCTGGCCATGTAGTGTTTGTCCTTGTACTCCTTAGAACCATCAATAGCCTTTAGAAATATTGGTCCTCCTTCACTTACAGCCATGAAATTTATCAATGGCCTTCTCTGAACATCTGTCCATCCATCAGAAACTAATGTAACTCCTTTTAAAAGTCATAAAGATTTTATAGGTTGGAGCAGTCTTTCAATATGAGATCTCTCTTGTTGTAAAAGATTGGTTCTTAAAGCATTATATCTAGGAGGAAGGAAATCACTAAAGTTATGGTTTGCAGCAAATGAATAAGAGCTAATATAGTAAGGATTTCTAGTAAGATGAAATGATAAGCCAGCTGAATAAAACATTCTTGCTATCTCTGCTCTAAGTTGATTTCTTTCATCCACATTGAAAGCCCTTTCTAGTGTACCACTTCATATTTTTTTTCTTTCCTGGGATAAAGTTGTTGGAGCTGTTGAAGGTAGTGGAATAGTTTTGGGCTTAATTTTATTCTCAGTTTCTTCACAAATTCTCTTCAAATCAGCCAAGTACTCAAGAGTGACCTTAGGATAAAGAACAACACCAGCAGGATATTCTAAGTATATGTGCTTTCACTCGAGTATAAACTTTTGACCACATTGTCACAAAAATTACAATTCCATAGCTTGTTGCCTCCTCCATCTTCCAGCTTATCCTTTATAGTAACAAATGCCCAAAGTGGAGCATGATCATCTGGAAGTTTTAATGAACCAAAGTTACTTAGAACTCTAAATTTGAGTCAGAACCAAAACTCATTTTTTGTCATCAAACAGTTGTGAAAAAAATGTAAGAATAACATTTTCACTTTATTGCTATAAAATGAATAGAAAAGAGGAGATTATGAAAGAGGAAGTTTGTGAGATTTTACTGCCACAGCAATGGAGAAAAAACGTTAAAATTGTTGCTGAAGTGCCGAGAAAAGAAAAGAGGAACAAAGTTCAGAACAGTGAGAACACACCCACTGTGACTTGAAGCTCGAAAATCTCCTTGACAAGAACGAGGAACTCAAGGTTTCCAACTTTGCCCTCTCTGCCTTGCCGGAGCAGCGGAGATCCAACGGGATGCTCCTCACACCGTGCGGAATGCCAGCTTACGTGGCGCCAGAAGTGTTGAAGAAGAAAGGATACGATGGGTCGAAGGTACCTGGTTGTGCGGGGTTATCCTCTTCGCTTTGTTTTCTGGGTACCTTCCATTTCAACGAGGATATACAGCTCCAAAGTTCAAGAACTATGAAGCTCAGAATCAAACCTCAAAACAATGACAGAAATGGGGAAATGGATGAGTTCTAAACCCTGATTTTTTATTTTTGGGTGAGTTCTGGTTTTGTTCCTAACTCATGAATAATAGCAAAAATGGGGAAATAAAAGATAGATTAAAACTCTCCGTTTCAATATTGTTAATTCACTCAAGCTGACCATTGTTTTAGCCGAGTTGTATCAGACTATTTATAGTCGTATCCCAACTATATCGAGTTTAAATTTAATTTTTAAAAATAAATTTAATTTTCGATACTTCTTGGATACGTATCTAAGCGTATCGGACACGTATCGGTATCTGATACGTGTCCAATATGGGTACTTTGCCATTTTTCACGTATCTGGGCTTCATAGACTTTGGGCCTGTATCTTAGTGGCCTAAAAAGCAGACTTTGGTAGCTTGCTCTAGTACAAAAGTTGAATACCGAAGCTTGGCAGCAACTGTAAATGAAATCTTATGGCTTCAGTCTCTCCTTCTGGAAATAGAAATTCCTATTCCAGTGCCTACTGTTTATTATGACCATCACTGCACTATATCCCTTTCTCACAACTCTGTTCTTCACTCTCAAACAAAGCATTGAGCGTTGGATCTTTATTTTGTTTGTGAAAAGGTTATGAACAAAAGTCTTACTGTATCTCACATTCCTGCTCATGATCAAATTGCTGATATTCAAACAAAAGCATTAGGGAGTACAAGATTCTACTCATTAAGATGCAAAGTAGTTGACCAATTTTCAATTACTCAACTTACTTGAGTTTGAGGAGATAATATTAGTGTAAACTCATAATAGTCACGTTAACTGTATTCAGTCTAGAATTTTTTGTGGTAACAAACTTTTGTGATGGTAGTTACTGATTCTGAAACTTCTAGCTAGGATTATCAAGTCTATATAAAGACAACATGTACTCTTTCAAAATATGAAATTAATCGAATAACATTCAGATTAGAATTTTCCCTTCTCCCTTTTCCTTCTCTTGCTCTGCATTTCTATCACTTCTTGTCAATCATCTCGGCATTGTTCATCAATTTCATCAACATCATAGCTGGATGTAATTTCAATCCTTCCTTTACTTCCTCCCTTAACCCATTCAAGAAGATACCCTTGAGGTATTCTTGGTCTGTAACTCTCAATGGGCCCGTATAAAATCAAAACTTTTCTCTAAAATCTTCCACAGTAGTAGTTTGCTTTAATTCACAGGGATTCCCTCTGTAACTCTCACTAACTCTGCTTTCTTTTCTATTTATACAAGTCCCTCCTTTATAATAATTTTCTCTCTTTTGGACACTTACCATCTCTTACTCTCTTCTGTACTGTTACAATCTCCACCTCTTACCTATTAATTCCACCCCCCACTAACACAATTAATTATCCACCAGACAATTACTATTATTAGTAACTCCATGCAAACTATGTATTCTGTTACCACTCTTCTTCCTGCTGTAAACTTTTTTAATCAGTGGTCTACTGACAGCTTCCTGATACTTTTTGGTAAATGCTTGGTCCCCTTCTGGTTACTGCTATATGCTGTCTTATTTTTGAAGTTTAAACATGTTTCCATCAAGGATTTTGCTTTGCTATATACATGCAAAAAGTGAGATTTTGTTGCTGTTTATGAACCTATTTTGGTAATTGCATGATAATGTCAGTACAAATGGTCCTTCTGCAAATGACTTATTGTTAATTTTTATTGTATGAAAATTATGTTTTGGGTTAGATCATCTGATCATGATTGAGTACCATATCTAAGTGATTGCTTGTTTGAAATTTCATCAGAAGTTTTTCTTAATCTCTCCCCGACTTCTAATTTCATTCATTAAACTGTGCTGATGCAATTTCATGGGATCTGATAAAGAATCAGTGAAAGGTTGCTTGTATTAACAAAATTGGTTTTGAAGCTCTCTAATATAATGACTTGTTGATATTATAAATTATTTTTCTATCTTATTAGTTATTACTATTTATTGAAAGTAAACTCTGTTCCATATATCATTTTTGGTAATTTGACACCATAAAGTTGTGTCTATAACCTTACATGAAGTAAAAGCAATTTCACCCAGGTGCTTCTTGATAACATGCCAGAACATTTAGGATGTAAATTTGTAGATTACCTGCTTTTGATGTAATCATTTAAAAAACAATTAACACAACCCTTTTTAAAAATTGAGGATAGTCTTTTCATTCCTTTAGGTGGAAATGTCTCCTTTATAGTCATATAGAGTTTTGTGCGACATTTTTGAATGGAGGGTTGTGTAGCAAATCAAATTTGTGTTTCATTCTTTTCACTTCTTCTAATAGATGTGCGCACAAACTTAACTACAAGAGGCAGAAAGAAAAGGAGCAGTTAGAAAAAAGACAACAGGAGCAGGGTAGAAGAAAGAGGTGAGAATATTGCTCCCCCCAACTGTTTTATTTTTCCTTCTTATTGACTAGAAAATATGGAGATTGAATCCTTGCATTTTGTAGGAACCGTTCAAAAAGTGACGATGATCTAGATGAACTCCAAGAAAGCAAAGAGAGAAAGCAAAAAGGTTTGAACTTGCCCTATTTCTACAAGTGGATGGACAGTTTTACATCATGACTTGGTAGTTTCAGTATCCATTGTGGTCTTGAAATATTGGAATTCTAATCATTTTTAGAATAATAATAATGGAAACAACAACCCTAGTTGCCATCTCTATATCTGATTTACTTGTAAGTTTTACTGGGTATGCCTTATATACTGCTTTTGGGCGACCCTCTCAACCATGGTAGTCAAAATCGAGATTTTACGTAGGATCGGAAAGGGGATGAAAGATCGTAACATGTAGGATCGTAAGATCCTACAAATTTGTATAAGTGCATGTAGAATAGTATAAATATAAAGATGAGGAAGCTAAACAAAGACAAATGAGGGAAGGGAGCAACCCTCAATTCAAACCAGAGACAGGGACATACTCATTAAAAACAGAGATAGAGAAGAGAAGGAAAATATGGATCAGTTAAGGTATTCCGATGGAAAGACTATTTTACCTCTAAAAAGACTTAAAACAGAGTCATTTTAAGGGCTAAAAGGGAAAGTCAAATTATTTTAAAAAGCTAAGAAAGTCTTTTTTATCCTTAAAAAACCCTAAAATTTGCTTCATTCTGGGGATAGAAAGGGAAAGTTGACCACTTATACTCCAGCGGCACTGTTGCATTGCTAATGAGGCTACGATGACTGCAAATACAGCTGGGATGGCCACCATAGCAAAATGCTCCGCTTTGACAAGGTCGCCAACATAAAGCAAAGTTGCCAGTGCAGACAAGGTCGCTGAAGCAAACACAGTCATTGGAGCGAAAGTTATAGGGATCGCATAATAGAGAAACGAAGTCACAAATCAAAGGAAAGGTTTAGGGATCACAGAATGAAATCAATTTTAGGGTTTCAAGCAAACCGGGTCACAAAGTGGGTCGCGTGTCATTAGGTTAAAATTTGGGTTTGAAAACACGGGGATCGTCCGATCTTACCGGTTTTACGTTCTAGCACGGCGATCCCACTCAATCTTGCTAAATCACGATTCTAGCACCGAGCTAGCATGGATAGGTGGTTGGAGATCGTAAAATTGTGCGATTTTATGATCCGGCATGCGATTTCGACTACCATGCTCTCAACAACTAAGAGATCCATTCGAAGAGTATAGGGACTAGTTGAAGTAATGAGCTCTTCATATAATATTGGGGGCTTATTACTTTCAATTGAGATAATGAAAAATCATTTCATTTTTTTAGTTGGAACTTTAGGGGATTCTCTGAAAAAGATAGCAAAAAAAATGATTCCTAAAGTCGAAACTAAGAGGAATGTAAGTTTCATTTGTTTATGTTGCAGGATAGACATGGTTATTTTAGCAATTTAACCTTTTTTCATTAAAAAAAAAAGTTAATAGAAAAATGGCTCTGTTTTGGTATCTAATGGTGGATGGAATGGGATGAAATAAAATGGTATGGAATAAAAGTACTATGACATTGCCTAGATAATTTTATGATGGAAAAAGAAAAGAATTTCCATTCTTTGCCCCAAAATTTTGTTGGATACATTCCATTTCATCTTGCTTCAAACAATCCAAACAATGGAACCTAGTATCATCTCATTCCTTGCCATCAATCCAAATGTAACCTTGGTGAAGAATGCACCGCAAGTGCTGTGCCTAATATAGTAATTCATTAACAGTGCATTCATATCTTTTATTAAGAGGCCTTAGCTTTAGAATGATTAATTTATTTAGGTTATTTTCTTAAATAGTGAAATTATTTGGTGCAATTGACTCTTGTTTTTGAAAGAATAATTTGTGCTATCTGGTGTTGTTGAGATGGCTGAAAAGCTTTCAAAATGAAAATGTATGTGGATCTTAGATTATTGTAACTTATATTTTTAGAAGCACGTCTGCTTTATCTTTTACTTTGCCCCTTTTGTAAAGAGGCTGTCAACTTGTTATCATTATCTTCTTTTTTTATAATTTGTTATCATTAATTTTGTTCTCACTTAAGATATGTCTAATGAGAACTTTGGTTAGAAAACTATTAAAATTCTTTTCTACAAATGAAAAACCTTGGGACTGGTTACTACTGTTTACTAACTGTGCAACAAGTTTTGCACCATAACAATGGGTCAAATTTAAATATATATCTTTGTCTCTCTGATTTGAATGGTGAAGTTAGTGAAATTTTCGGTTTCATCTTTTAAGCATGACAATGAAAGCGCACTTTCCCTGTTTGACTTGCTTCTTGAGTTTGTTCGAGTGTTTGGAATTTCTTTATATGCTCCAGAAATCTTTTGTTCTAACGTTTGAATCGTCTGTTTTAAGCTTAAACTTTCTTTACAATGTATTTATAGGTAAAAGGGCATCTACTTCAGCCAGTGATCATAAAATTTGCGATGAAGGTGATGACGATAACTTTGACGAGTTCCTTGAGGAGATGTTTCCCTGAACTTGGCTGATTGATTGCCTTACTTAAAAAGTGCGTCTTGACTCCAAAGCTGAGCAAAATAGCAAAGGTTGGGCAGTGGTGGAGGCAAGTGTTTGAGGTTCAGGTCTGCAGAAACATGGTAACCCGGAATACTTTGGACAGAATTCTTTACCCAGTCAAACCGCTCTATATTATTTCCATTTATGAAGACTATAAATGTATAATATATGCTAGGCGAGTTTGTATTCTGTACAGCTTGTAAAGTATAGCCTTTTAATAACAATAATGAAAATTGCTTAGCAGAAGGATCTACCCAATGGCTTTGTAGTCGTTTTACCTCGAAGTAATATTTTCATCCACATACTGGTCGTAAAATATTATGGAAAGAATGCTGACTAGCTATCTGGAAACTAGCTAGTAATATGTTTCCTCTTCATTGTTCTTATAAATCCTCGTGCAGGATTTTTCAATTTCATACTGCTCAGTAAGGGTTTGTTGTTTGCTATCTAATTATCTTCGGGTTTTGCAATTTCTTTTGAAGTATTAGGCTTCGGTGCTTGGTTTGAGAAAATGTTAACACTTAACACTTTTCAAAACACATTCATTATTATTAATTGAAATTTATTAGGACTCACTAAACGTTATAGGTTTCATATCTTATTGAATTTTTTATCTCATGACTTTTAATTTCAGTTAATAATAAAGGAAGTTAAAAAAATCATGTTAAAATAAGTGTTAGACTATAGTGTATTGTTAACACTGTTTGCTGGAATCGTTGCTCCTTTATTGAACGCTGCTGATGGCGACCCTCCTCACTTGCTCTACGGATAAGTTGATATCTCCGATCTTCTAATTATTTATATCAAGGTTGTAATTATCAGCAACAAATTAATTAAAATGTGCAACATTTTTTTTAAAGAACAAATTGGTTCCTGCTATCTTGTTGATAAAACTACTACATTTGGTCTTGTTTGGTGGACATAATAAAACAGGAAAGAATAGGATATAAGAGTTGAATAAGAATACAATAATCATACTTTTATTGTATGTTTCTATACCAAAAAAGTAAACTAAAATTATTGTTATTTTATTTTATCTATTTTTAATAAAGCTTTTTAACAAGATAAAATTTATATTAAAAAAATGATAGGATACAACTTTAGAATAGAGTTATTATATTCTATTAATTAAATAAGAGTTCGAAGTCGGTAACATATTCATTTTTTTATCTTTTTTATCAAATATAAGTCTTTAGAGTTTGTTTATTTATTTTCATGTATGGAATCAATTATCTGCGAATAATGAAGTTTTTATTTTGATAAAAGTGAGCTCCAATTAACTTGTGAATGGAGATTTGACTTCAACATCAATTGTTGAGCAAAGTTAAGTAAAGTTGATTTCGTAAAATTAAATTTGAATCAGTGTTATAGTTGAGATACGTCTATTAAACTTATAAAATGATTGTTGCTCTTTTGTATACACTTTCTGTCTTTGTTAGCTTTTAAGTTTGTCTCCATGCTTTATATGAGAGTTTCACCAGAAGTTAGTATTCTACCGTATCATAGTCTACTAATTCAATTTCCAAATTATGATATTTTTTCTATTCTTTTTTATCATATAAATAGTACTGAGTGTGTGCTTTTGGGGGGTGCTGAACTTTATCGACTTGAACCACACATGCTGTAACTTAAACCAGATTCCTAATACGTACGTTATTACATTTAATGAAAGAGTTATATTATTTACATAATATATTTTGAAAAATTTTATTTTGTTTTGTTTATCACATCAACATCTTACTCTATTTAATTTTTTTTTCATATCTCTCTCATCCAAAGAATTATAAAAGACTAATTGTATTAACGCAATCCCACTTTCCAATAAGCCGGCATATATCAACTCTAGAAGCTATTCTTGCGTTAGTTGGCAAGATAAGATATTAAGATACAAAGCAATGTCCAAAAGTGATATGGATGTTACGTTGTTATGGTCAATGCAAATATGCTTTTAATGAGTGAGCAACTTCTCCAATCCTTTCTTCTTCTTCTTCTTCTTCCCTCTAACTTCATTTGTTCCCAAACTCTATCCTTTCTTTAACCAAGTGAGAATCTAAGTTGTAGAAGTTGAATAGACAGCATGATGTTTCAACCGCCTTTGATAATTTAAATGATTCAAATTAACTATTTTCAATATGAACCAAGGAAATCTAGGGAACATATAAGAAATTATACATAATATATGATGCGGTAAACAAGAAAATTTGTGCCACATGGCTTCTGAACTTGAATGATTTAAATATAGTATCCCCAATGTTACAGAGAAGAGTGTGTTTTTATCTTTGGACAGACAATTATATCAGACAACATAAAAGTTTACGAGGGATTCAAAATTGGGAATTGATTGGAGTGAAGTGAGTACAACTATTTGTAAATAATAAAGGATTGGTTACACCCTCGAAAATTTAATAAAATTATACTCACTATCCTCTCTTTTTATACAATACCTTGATTTTCAATAATAAATTGACTACGTGTTCTGGTTAAACGTATCTATCCTCTGTCGTGACTGTTTGTTTGCTGTGCCAACCTTTCTTGGTCAAAAAATTCTCACTGTTATGGGATAACTTACCAAACGTGACAAAATTAGTGTGTATATTAAAGTTATTAAAGTATAACAAATACTTCTTTAATCAATAGAATCTTAATATTGTTAGTAGCTTAAATTCAATTCTAAGAATTGAAATTAATATTATTAACATTAATTCTTAAGTATATAAAAATATTTTTTATTACAAATATAATAAAATAATAAATATTTGTTCTAACAATAAATATTTAATTTAAGTGGTACATAATTAATTTTTTGAAACAATATTTTAAATTTGAATCATCTATAATTTATATATAAAATATTTTTGATAAAATTTATCATATTTAATATTTAAAAGTAATTCTAAATATTGAAATGAATATTTTTTTAATTAATCAATATTTCTGGTGCTATTTGTAGCATGAGAGACATTGTAGGGTTAGGGGTTTTACAATACTGGATCATCCTCTGGAAAGCCACCTTAAAATGGAGATTCGTAACTTAAATCACTTAAAATTACCATTGTATATGATATTATATGCTATTATTTTTATTTTTATCATATATAATATTGATTTTTTAACATGTACAACATTATATGAATTTATATGAGATAAATTTTTATTAAAAATTATAGAATATGATATAATTCAATACAGTAATATTATTAAATATTATAATTATGTATAAAAATATATCACTTATAAAAAAGATACCTCTTGTTTTTTAAAAACATTGTTTCTAAAATGAAAGCTTGTAGTAACATCTAAGATTTGGAGACAAGGTAGCTATCAACTTTCTTCTTGGGTGTCTGAGCCACTGGTTAGATTTGCGGCGTCAAAAATAATGGTTCATTTACTATTTTTTTCTCTTCTTCTTTGTTCACTACTCACTAGCTTTGAACTAGGCACCGACTTTGCTTCATATTAAGATAAATGATGACGATTCTTTCATTGCATATTTTACACCCTGCACTCTCTAAAGCCTCCAATTGTCACTACTGTTATTATACGTCAAAAATCAAAATATAGTTTCAACGCATTTTGTGATGCATCATCCAATTATTTTATTTAAAAACATTAACCTTAATACACCATGAACATGACATGATGTTGATAGATAGTATCTTACAAGAAAATAGACGCAGCAGGAAAATATTAGTTGCATCTGATATATATTTACTTATATACATAAGAGGGTATGTAGTAAAATCAGAATGTAAGAATAATATTATAATTATATACATATAGAGAGAGTATTTTAAAAATAATAGACTAGATAACATATTTGAAAAATATTAAAGCTATAATTGATTACTATATTCTTAAAAAATAATTGAATATATTGTTTAGTATTTAGAGACTGATATTATTATGATACAAATGTTCTCTTGTGTGAAGAGAGGTTTTAGCAGGTTAATGGAGTTCTTATCAGAAAATGTTCCAATGCTCAAGTCAAAAGAGATTCAAGGCCAGTATTCTGTGTAAAATAAGGATATGCAACATATGTGACGCTTGGAATTTTCTTATTTTATATAAGCCTTCGTATCATTTTCTGATTAGAGTTTTCATCATTATTTCACTTTGATCACAGTTATTTTTTAATCTAATATTACCTCAAAACATATACATTAATAAATTTTTCTATATATAGTGATATTTTTGTTTTAATTATGAATATTAATATAGATAAAAACACATATTCACGTCATAGAATGTGAGTGAAATGTTTCATTTTCAAACATAAATTAATTTGGTATTCTTATTTTACAGTTAATTATTTCTAGTTAATAAATTAATTTAGAAAAATATTAAAGAAAACATTTTTAATAAGAACCGTTCTTAAAATAACTTAATTACCATCTTATTTTCAATATAAATACCGATATGAATCATATTTTAAAAAAGTTGGCTTCAGTACACATAACTAATTTTTCTTCTTCTTTATGTGCCAGTCATTTTGTCGTATATGTAATTTATGTATATTATCTGCAACATGTTGCACGTCATGCGAGTTTTAAGGATAAGTACGAAACAAATTATATTAAAAAATAAACAATGATTTTAATGTTTAATTGTTAAATATATACTATGCCTAAATAATAGAGTAATTTATGCTTCAGATCATAAGAGACCCTTCTTTTAAAACCATTTTTGGAATTCCACAAGAATTGTAGCAATGAATTAATAATATACTAACGTAGGATTGCTTTAAGATTATTTCTCTCACAAAATGTTATGTTTAAGGTGGAAAATAAGTAAAAGAAGACGAAATTAGAAAAAAAATATTATATATATATATATATATATATATATATATATATATATATATAGATAATGAATATGAAATGCATTATTTGTATTATGTAATATTGGAACAGACTAATTATTAGAGGGAACGTAGAGAGTTCACCAGGCTGGATTTGGAAAATTGTCCAACAAGAACAATGATGGAAGATTTTATTTTATTTTATTTTATTTTTCTCATTATTAGTGTGTGACCATATGCTATAAAGCTGACTTAAATTAACTTTAAATTATTAAAATGTGTTATAATAAAAGGGTAATTTTATATATTTTTCAAATAGATATTAAGAGTTTGACAAAATCTATTTATAAAAGTTATTTTGTGTTTGATTATAATCACAGAAGTACTTTTATTTTGAAAATCAAATTTTAGGTTATTAAAATTATCAATATAAAGGTATTGTTGTTTAGAAAAATATTGCAATAAAAATACATTAAACATCTAAAAAAAATATGCATATCCTAACAAGACTTTTGATGTTACCATTATTCTTATATCACTGGTTGGTATTTATCTTTTCTATAACCACAATAAAGCAAAAGTGGCTTTTCTAGGTTTAATTGAACTCACTAAAATCTTCTCTTATTTCTTGAGAAATAAACTCGAAACCAAACATTTCATTTGGCTAGCAATATTAGTGTTTACTCATCCATCTTTGGCTAATTAATTAATAATTCATATGTATATAGAAATTATCTTTTTGATAAAATTATTACAACAAAAAATAATAATTACCTTACATAAGTAAAGTATAATCAATAATGACAGGTATTTAGCATTACTCAATATAATATGTAATACATTTTTTTTCAACTTAGTTTAACTAACAAGTATGAATATTAATCTATGTATGACTCGGATTGCACTGGCAAGGGTTTTAGATAATATTTTGTTATTTTAATGAAGCATTCCTTTCATCATCTCTTCATGAAGTGTGATGAGATGTTCTTATGAGAAAAAAAAACATTTCAACACTTAAATTAATGAAACTTATAGCAGAATATATAACAACAAAGGTAGATACATACTTGGAGAGAGAATGGTTTATGTTATTTCAAGTTTTGTGTATGAAAAATATTGTCTTTTATAATTATTATGCTACTCAACCACACTATAAAAGGGTATGATAGGATTAGAGAATATAGTTTCTAAAATAGCAACGAGAACTATTTAGATGAGAAATATGATGTCTAAGGTTCTAAGGTTGAAATATGAGATTCAAGGTCCTAATCCAAAATATTAAGTCCTAAGAAAAAGGGGTCAAAGTGAGTTTTCTAAACTTAAATGAAAGATATGAAATTTGAGGTTACAATTCAACGTGGGAAAGTCAAAGTAAAACAGAGATACAACATTAAAAATAATTTTGTTTCTAAACTTATTTTTAAAATATAATATATATATATATATATATATAATATTATTTTAAAATATTTTTAGTAAAATAAAAAATTATTTATTTATTTATTTTTATGAATATTAAATATTAAAGTATATTTAATAATAATATAATTGAGTACTTATTTTATAAAGTAAAATATATTATAATTATTAACAAAAATTAATTTAAATCTTAAATAATTTAATATTATTTAAGTAAAGTTTTGAATTTAAATTTTTATGTATAAAAAAAATATTTAGTATAACTAATTGATAAGTTATTTTTAAAAAGCTTAAATTACAGAGTGAATTCTTAAAGGCTAAAGCAGCTTGAGGTATTGCCACGTGATGTTTGTGGCTTACTCAACACCTACGAGTGAGGCGTGCAACTAACACATACATCTTGCACGTGTCTTCCACTAAGTTCACCTCTCACATCGTTTCACAGCTTTTCCGGACAAAACGACAAAAAATATCAATCACTCCTTTCTGCAAACGCCGCTACGCCAACAACGGTTAGTTGGCACTTAACATAAATAAATTAAATATTTTTATTATAATTTTTTTAAAATTATATAATATTATTCAAATTTCAATTAAAATAATATTATATAATATAAATTTATTGTATTTATTAATATGTTTTAAAAAATATTTTATTAAATTTATTTGATATCTTTAAGATATTAGTTAGTAAGATTTATTTTATTATATATTATTTTTTACATATTTTTAAAAAATATGTATTTTTTATAATTTTAAATTTTAAATATCTAAATAATATATTTATTTATTATGGCCTAAACAAGAAAAGGACACGTGGCGAGGTCTTGGTGGTGGGGCCCAGACACGTCGCTTATGATTACAACACGTTCTGGAACATAAAACAGGTGTCTGAGTTTGGCGAGACTTACATGTCTATATTTTAATACAGTCTTAAGGCATCAATTATTGTTATTATTTTATTACCAAAGTAAACGAATCACAAAATGTTATATAATATTTTAAGATTTTTTATTGAATATTTTGAAGACCTATTTATATAAAAGATCAAAAATAATTTTATTTGACATTATTTATAGTATTAATTTTTAACATCTAATAGTTTAATAAATATAAAATATTGACATAACCAAACTCATTACAAGCTTGAAAAATGAGGTAAAATACTTTTACTATATATCATACCTTATTTTTAACCTGTTGATATAAAGTGGTCTCAATTAGGTTAACCCACTAAATCACTGTTGCTGAATCAGATTGAGGAACACAGTTTTCCTTTAGAAAATATATTAATTTATGAAGCATAATGTCAAAATTACCCTTGCTCATAGTTCATGTGAATACTATATTTAATGTAAAATGTTAAATTTATTTATTGATATTTAATTTCATAATAAAAGTTTGACATTTATCTAATTATAATATTTGTTGATGAATTAATAGAGTAACTATCCCAAAAAAATCTAACATTGCTCTAATATTTATGTATTTATCTACCCACGGTTATGCACATAATTAATTTTACTGTTTGTAAATAAAACATTGTAGATAGATCTTTAATAATATATTTTTGCAATTAAGGGCCTTTCTATGATTTTAATTTTTTATTTGATATATATATATATATATAATTAATTTTTTAGTTTTCAAAAATTTATAATATTTTTTAATGAGTCTTTTATAATCTACATTTTATTATTATTTTTTATTTTTTATTTGATTCCTTTAAATATCATAAAATTTTGCACTTGATTTTTATAAAAGTAAAAAAATATATGATATTTAAAAGGCTGAATGATAAAATAAAAGAATATTATTTTATAATACAAAGTATAAAAAAACTCATTTAACTTGCAATGCAAATGACTTTTAAAATTAGATTGTAAAAAGTAACAGATTTGTTGCGTAGTTGATACAAGTTTAATTAATGACTAAACCCGTGAAATGTGTTAAGTCATTGTTTATAGTTTAGGGCTTTAGGCAATGACAATAGGCAAGTTTTGACTTCCATAAAATTATAGATAAAGTAAGAATTTTAAGTTTGATGGCATTTGAGTTCCATTTTTGGTGTTGTGGGAGAGAGAGAGAAGGCATCTAGGCCTATAAATAGGAACATTTTTTATATATGAGTTTTTTATTTTAAAATTCAAAAAATATGAGATTTTTTATAAAATTATAAAAATATGATTTTTTTTAAAAATACTATTGGCAATTTTTGACAAAAATTGTTACCGATAACTTTTGATGTATTTTTTAAATATTTAAATATTTTTTAAAAATCATCATTAGTAACTTTTGATTTTTTTTTTAAATCACCATTGGCGACTTTTGAAATTTTATCACTTTTTTACTTTTTTATCTTTAAATTTTTGTACTGCATAAAAAATTGCCAATAGTAATTTTTAAACTCTATATTCTTGTAATTTTATAAAAAATCTAATATTTTTTAAATTTTGAAAAATAAAAATTATATGAAAAAAAGTAGCCCTATAAATACTTAACTTTCATTAGATAGCTTAAAAAGCTTTGGATAAAAAAAAAGTAATTTTTAAAATTAAAAATACACCTATTAAATTTGACCTATTATGTCAAGTACTTGTCATTTTGCATTTTTAAACTATGCAAGTAAAATTAGTAATATTTACATTTCATTTGATCATTATTTTTTTTAATAAATGTAAATATTTTTTTACATATCTAATAAATACATAATTTCTTTTCAACGGCCTTCATTTTGGCATTGCACATATTCTATGTTGAGCTAGGTGACATAAGAATGAAGCTAGATAAACTTTTCAACAATGTTTCTCCTTAGGTCACACTATAATAAAGAAAAAGAGGTGTAAGGGGCCATTTTTGTCAACACATCATTGTTCTTACATTACACTCAAGTAATTAGGTAATACAGTTTTTCTATTAAAAAAAGTAATTAGGTAATACAGGTTTCATATTTTATTTTATTTTATTTTTTGTTTTCTTCCAAAGAGGAGACATGGGACATGGACAATGACCTTTGCGTGAAGCAGAAATAAAATATATTTCTCATATTTTTATTTTCTCAATACAAAAAATAAACTAAAAACCTTATTTTATATCCTTATTATTCGTAAAAGTTATTTGTTATTCTCGTCACTGAATCATGGTCCAATGTCTCTCTTAAGGTTGCAGCCATAGAAAGAGAAAGAGAGAAAATGGGTCTCATCTCAATGCAATTCATGTTCTGAAAATCGAAAGCTTTCCCAAAGTGAGTTCCCTCTAAAGCTCATGGCTTTATGCTCTTAAATCACAAGATCTCTAGCTTTGAGTCAAATTTGACTATAACTTTGTAAAAGGTGTTTCTGTGTTTGTTTGATTCAAAATTGTTTGTGAGAAATATGAATTTTCTTTTCAGTATGTGTGTTTGGTTCAATTGGTTGGGAGGAAAGCATGAGAAAAGCAATTTTGAGTTTTGAGTTGAGTTTTCAGTCCCGGGATGAAATGGGGTAGTCACCACTTTTTTTTTTTTCATAAAATATAGAGTTTCGTGGTAGCTAAATAATCAAATTCTCAGCTCAAGAACATAGAGCTAGATAAAGCTGAAGTCTTTTTGGAATTATGAATGGAGGGTAAGTCGTAAATTTGGTTTCCTTCTACTTATAGAAACATTTTCGTGTCACGTAATTTAGTTTCAACTTCATTACCCTTATCCAGCTTTGCTATCAAGTTAACAAATTGAGATCTATTCAACCCTTAGCATTTTTCCTTATAAAAAAATGGAATTTGATTATGTCCTTGTGTGTGATTTGGAATTTTCTTATGTTATCTTTGTTTGGTCTCAGAGAAAAGTTGTGCTAAAGATGCCAGGGAAACCTGACACTGATGACTGGCGTGGAGAGCAGATTCAGTTTCAAACTTCCGTTTACTCTCATCATCAACCTTGGTGGCGTGGAGTCGGGGAAAATGCCTCCAAGTCACCTTCATCTGTTCACTTAAATGGTTCAATCATGAATGGTGTCACAGGGTCCGAGACCAATGAAGATTTGGCTGAGAGGGTTGATTTCAATAGGCAAAGGCATCCTATGGTTTCTCCTTCACTCTCTGGAACTGATAAGTCAGGTGTCTGTAATTTGGCATCTTATTAGAGTTTTGCTTGATAATAATGTAATTTTGTCTTTTCTCCTTTTTGTATGTACTTTTTGTTATTCTAAGTTCTAACTATTTGAATTAAACAGCGTGCCTGTGTTAGTTGTTCTATCATCTGTTTTAGCAGATTGGGTTGACTTAATTTCAGTTTTATTGCACTTAGCCATCCTAATTTATCAAATCAATAGGACTTTTCTCCGTAATTGATAAAATATAAAATTGTGGGTTTTACTCATTCAATGTTATTGTTAGCATGATCCTCATACATTTCAAATTAGGGGCTAATTCTCACAGTTAAGAAAATAGAAATTTATATACAGCTGTAACTTTTGAAAGAAGATATTCTTAAAATGATATTCTATTTGTGTTCAAAGTGAGGAATTTATAATAATGACTTCTAATTGGTGAACTAAGAATTCACCATTAACTTAATTTGCCTCTTCACATACGTAAGCATTATATATGAATATGATAAACTGAAAAGTTTCTTGTTGGTCTCAGGTGGGGGAGTTGCCAAAGAGTACCAAAGCATCAAGGATGCCATGTCCTCAACCCCATTTACAGTGGGCAAACACATTGGTCCAAATTCCCAGATGGAATTTGTTGGTCATTCAGTTGTAAGACATTTAGAGTTACATTTTTCTGAGATGTGTAGGCATGGTGAACTTTTGTCACACACTGCATGACCCTTTATTATGTAGTTCTGAGTTTATAACTCATTAATCTCCCCCTATTATGTCAACTTTCTTTCCTTTTGTTTCTCTATTTTTATTTTTTTGAGGAGGGGGAGGGGGTGTTGTTATGGAATCTGTCACTTTATACTATACCTTTGGAGTGTAAAAATTAAGATTTTAAGCTTCCTCAATATGTGATGCAGGTTTTAACATCTCCTTATTCAGATGCACAGTATGGTCAAATCTTGACTACTTATGGGCAGCAAGTTATGGTATGCTATCTTTTATTTTCTATACATTTAACAAGTCTGTTTTTTATTCTGTAGTCCATAACTGGTCCTCCTTTGCTTCACTGGAAAGAGAAATTGTTTATTTCTTTTGTTTGATGTCTAGGAGAGATATTTTGTGCACCTATGTATATAATAGGCTTATATGCACACACTAAAACATAATTATTTATAACAGGCAGATAAAGGTTGGCATAGAAGATTAATTTGTCATTTAGCCCTGACAGATGTTGTTTATTAATATTTATAATTATTCTGCATATAATTTGTAGATACTCTGTAGTTATGAATTAGTTTAATAAAGTGAATAAACATGTAATATATTAATTTATTATTTTGGTTAGAAAAAAAATTATTTGCATAATTTTTTTTATCATGTGTCATTAATTGTATGAATATTAATATTTATAGCAGTTGTTTTTGGATATAGTTTTTAAATATTTACGTAATATATTTTAGTTTTATGAATTGAACATGTGAGTTATGTATTGTATAATTGATTTTTACTTTGGTATATGAACTTAAAGAAAATTATTTGCATATTTTTCCATGATGGCATTAATTGAATGTTTTCAACTATAATTTTATGTTATACTTCTGTAAATACATACAGTGCAAATTAAAAAAATAAAAAAGTTGAACAGAAGTTACCAAACATAGTGACAGCCATATTCATAAAAGTATCAGATTGGGATACTAGCATACTAGTCTTTGCAATTAGGTTTTTAAAATAAAATAAAAATTTAAATATTAAGTAATAATATTTTTTTTTCTTTTGTAGATCTTATGTCTGACGTTAGTGTATTAATTGAATGTGCATATACTATAGATTTGTTTTTCACTTTCATTGAGGTTGACGTTAGAATTTATTTGAATTTTTTTTTTTTTCATTGTTATATGCCCTTGAGCAGTGGAGTATGCCACATCTACCCATGTTATGATGTGGCATCAGATAGTGTCCATGTCAGCATATAAAGTGATTCTTTTGGGATGATGTCATTTCAATATGTGACACGATGAAGTATTTGGGGCTTATGAAGTGGTTTTTCTTTATGATGCCTCTTCAATACTTGATATGTGTTGCATTTGGAGGTTTGTGGGAGGAGTCTATTTTATGTATTATATATAGATATAGATATATAGATTTTGTAAATGAGAATTTGGCTCTTCTAAAGTGTAGGGTACACTTTGGAGGGTAAGCAGTGATAGTCCTTGATTGAAAAATTGATGGTGGAAATTTTAAAATTTTCATATTCTGTTTTGTTTGTGCATGCATGCGTATATTGTATTTTATTGCAATCTCAATAGTTGATTTTTAAGTAACAGCTATCACTCTTTACTTTATCCTACGTGAACCCTGCACTTTAGAAGAGCTAAGAAGAATGGGTCTTCGCATGTTCAGTTTGAAGTAATTTGAGCATATCTGCAATTATATCTATAAGCTTGGAAAGGCCTTTGGCTGTAAGTCATGGATCCTTTTGTTTTCCATTACATTCTGTAAATCTAGACCATTCACATCCATGTAACAGTAACCATGCATAGTGTCATCTTTATGAGAGTAGTGCTTCCTTTAAGGAAGCCTTTCTTTCTGTGAATTTTTGCATCTAAATTTAAATTCAACATCCCTTTTCCTTCATTTTCTTCCTTTGAGGCTTTTATGACTTATAATATTCTTGTTGAACCAAATAAATGCAAAACTACTTGTGCTAGTCCTTACAGTTATTGTTATAATGCTAGATAAACCCTCAGGTATACGGAATTCATCATGCTAGAATGCCTTTGCCACTTGAAATGGAAGAGGAGCCTGTATATGTCAATGCAAAGCAGTATCATGGTATTTTGAGGCGAAGACAGTCTCGGGCAAAGGCTGAGCTTGAAAAGAAAGTGATTAAAGCTAGAAAGGTATGGTTGATATCCAACTTATTTAGGAAAGGCAACATAAAGTTACAACTAAGGGATCTATCATAAAAAGGATTTAGAATGAAACAGAAATGAAGAAAAAAGAACTGTAGAACTCATTTACTTAAAACAATGTTACTGCTAGATTGAAGTTTATGCATTCACAGTCTTTATATTGGATAGGAAAAGCTTATTCTGGATTGGTTCAATATATTCAATGTTATGGCTTTCATTATCCTACCCTCTATTTAATGAATCCTATTTGTAAATAGAGTAGCCTACACAAATTTCACCCAATAGTAGATAACGTGTTGAAAAAAGTGTGTTGCTAACATTATGTTGCGAATTTTAGTAGTTATCAACATACAAGCAAGTGCATAAGTTGATTGTAATAAAATGAAGTGTTTCACAAAGACTATATTTAGGAGTACATATTACTAATGGTTCTTGAATGTTAAGCGAATGCAATAGTTTGAGAATTTTTATGTAAAAAATAAGAATTAAGATAGTTTGAGAGATTTAAAAAAAAAGAAACAGAGAAATCACAAAGTAAAGTTATATGGATGAAAGTCTAGTCTTTGGTTTCTTCTTGTGACTACCTAAATATATCTCAATTTAATACTAATCTATTATATTAGTGCAATTACCAACCATTTAATTTATTATTATCACTACTAAATAATCATAGAATAATGACAGTTTTTTCTTATTTAGATATTATCCTGATAATCATGGACAATAATAGGTAAAAAAAAAATTAAAATCTCAATTAAATGATTAGAAGTTTAGATGATAGATTGATTTCCATACCCCGTAAACTCAAATTATCTTTTAGTTATGTTAACATATTAATGTTATGATCGTCTATTAATTGATTAATTAAGATTAATCTTTGAGTGACCATTTCAAGAACAGTAATAATAAAGAGACAACTTTAAGAAACAACTAACATTATTATCATAAAATTAAACTATAGTTTAAAAGGGTTACATCACAAGCATCTTCATGACAAAGAGTGGTAGTTACATATAATAATTATAATATTAAAAACAAAGGAAACTAAATAGAGAAAATTCATAGTCCTAAATGAAAAGAAACGAAAAACTTTGTGGCTGATTTGCTTTTGGAGAACACCACTAGGAACACCTCTTCTTGGAGATTTTGTGGAGGTAACGCTCGAGATCAAGGAGAGAGATTGTGTGGATGTAAAATATGGAAGAGTTTTGGGTAGAAGATTTAGGGTTTGAGTGTGGAGGAGACGAAGAGAGCTCTAGTCACCAGTTCCAAAATCTTCCGTCAAAAAGATAAAATCTAAATTCAAAATGAAAGCTCAAAATTCAAATCAAAATCAAAATTTGCCTATTTTTGGTTCTTTTTGGCAACTTTCTTTATGATTTGACTATTTTAATCAAGTTGCACTATCATCTCTTCTTACAATAAAATCAAAAGAAATTAGACCAGTTCAAGGGGTAAAACAAACAATTCTAATAGAAGAAAAATAAGTTAAAATCTCATAGATAAAGTAATAGAATGATAGTTTATTACATTTCTCGTGCTTCGTATTTCTATTTCTTTTGTATGTCATTCTTGTAATAATAATCTACTTGACTTTCCAAGTGTCAAACATAAATTTTGGCAAATGATAATTATTTACCTTAGATTATATGCTGAGTTACAGATGTTAGGTCTTCTTATGCTCCTCCATTTCTTTGATTATTTTTCATTCTATAAGTCTGGTTCTTGTAGTCATCTGATTTAAAAAACAATGGAATACTAATTCCATTTCCTGGTTTGCCTGTTTTTCTGTGAGGGAGCAGGCATCAGATTTCAAGTCAATGTCTTTCAAATTCTCAAATTTGAAACATTTTTCAGTATCGACAATTGGACATGATATATTATTTCTGAGGTGGAAATTTGATGTAGATAGATATCGCTTTAGATGCCAAGATTTGTTTTAGTAGAAAACGAAGTGATAATTAAAGAATGAAAATATTTGAAAAAAAAAAAAAAAGAGAAAATATGTAAACCTCTGGAGACTACCTTCAATATAAACTCAGAAAACATTATCTAATGTGACAAGGTCGACAAATATTTATGATGTCTGATAGAATAACAACCCTTTAAAAGGCATATATGAAAGAGAAGCCAAATGAACAACTACATCACTATAAAATTATGGTTATAGTTAATTGGCAACTAAAAGTAACTCCCAAGTTATATTTTTGGGCCAAAATTGCTTTGGAAGTAAATTTTGATTTTTTATCTTCTAGTTTTACAATCAAGGGTTTTAGAGGAGGCATGCGATGGATGGTTAGATTAAACATTTCATTGTTAAGTTTTAAAATGAAATACTGTGAGTTGAAAACTCTAAGCAATTGTTAAGGTCAGGTAATAGGTAAAAAATCAATAACTACCAAAATCATGACTCCCATTTGTTATTGCTAAGGTGCTTGTGTGAATGTATTGTATTCATACAATTTTATCTCATTTCTTTCCATTTGTGTAGAGTTGATCATAGTCATAGTTTTCTCATTCATTTCTTTCAGCCATATCTTCATGAATCCCGTCACCTACATGCTATGAGAAGGGCAAGAGGTAACGGTGGTCGCTTTCTTAATACAAAGAAGCTCGAAAATAACAACTCTAATACCACTTTAGATAAAGACAACAGTATTGGTGCAAACCCTTCAACAAATTCACCTGCCACTCAACATTTTCTTACCAACAATGAGAATCTAGGCTCATCACATGCATCACAGTGCATAGTTCAAGACATGCACAGGATGCATAGTTTCAATATTGGTTTCCATGACGGAAATGGTCTTTCAGCACTGTACCATTCACAAGCAAATGGAAAAAAGGAAGGAGGTTACTTTGGTAAAGAGAGGGATCCTAATGGGGCTGTTAAATAACACTTCCCTCAGCCATACAGCAACAGTTAGGTACTAGAAGATATGAAGTCTAGTAACACACTCTTTAAAGCGTACTCTCAACACACTTCTTGTAATTGGTTATTTTTTTAAAAAGTCAATGTAATTTTTTAAAAAAGGATCAATTTATGAGGTAAGTGCTTTGATGACTTTTTAAAAAATAGACCAATCACAAAGAATGTGTTCAAGAGTGTGTGCAAAAAAATGTGCTGATAGCATGTCTTACATATAGTAAGGTTTAGTTGAATTTCTCTCGAGTCTCATATAAGGTTCATATATTGCAGGTGAAGACGAAGGACGTTATTTCATCCAACTTATGATGCTGTATTGAAGGCAATTCATTCTTGGCTCAGTTGATTACAGTGGTGAGATCAGTGATATGGTGCACTCTATGCCTTGTTTAGTCTCCCATCTTGTTCTGTTTCTCTTGGCAAGTCCATTTGTAAAATGGATGACAGAAAGAAAAGGAAAACTGCTTTGGTTTGAGAACTTTTTTAAGTTTATATTCTAAACTCTATGTGAAGGTTCGTATAACTGTATACTGACTTGTGTGACTTACTCCACAAAACCTTAAAAATTTCATCTATTTTGTCCGGTCTCCTTCCACACATTATATTATCCATTAAGAAGAATGATAGAAACACATTTCATATTATTAGTTTATTTTTTAAGAAGTCAAAGAAACATTTAAAAAGCAATTAATTTATGAGACATGTATTTTAACTTATGAAAAATGGATCAATAATAAAAAGATAAAATTTAGGTGCAGTGTAGTAGATATTATTGATGTTATTTTTTAATTAGAATTAGAGTTTTGCCTCAGTAATTTGAAACATTAAAGATCTGCATACACACATTATCACGATGAAACTTTAATTGTGATTGAAGAATAATGCTTTTAGTATTATACTTCAATTTTGTAAAAAATAAAATGTGTTTAAAAAAGTGTGTGTATGAATTTTTATTATTCTTAATTGGGGCGGATGCATAATATGAACTGTTAACTTATTATAGCTATTGCGCTTGCATTGGATCTTGTTTCCCCCTGTGGCGAGGGCTGATTGGAAGTCAAATTTAGTGCAGAAGCGTTGCTTGCTGACTATAACTGCAAATGATATTAACTTGGGTTTAAAATCAAGTGTAACCCATTTGTATTTATTAATAAAAAAGTGATATAGATCATTACAACATTAGTTTAAAGAAAAGATGCTAAATAAATTTTGGTGTCCTTTTTGAGACTTCTGCATTCTTGGATGGAATCTCTGTTTGTAATATATATCCTTTTTAACGAGTAAATAGTGTTATACCCGTGCACGACGTTGATAGTTTGTAAACTAATATGATTTAGAAGTTTAAATTAAGTGGGTATTTCTGCTTTTAATACATTCTTTGGTTTCATAAACTTTAGAACGATGTTAAACTTGATTTTTTTAAGTAGAAAATTGATTGTTGAGTTTGATCTTAATAATTCACCATAGTTGTTAAGATGTTAAGGAATTTGCTCAATGATTAAGAAGCTTTTTTAAGTTCTTGAAATATAATGTATGTGTTAATCAAGCTAGTCTAGGTAAATAGGAAATTTTAGTTAATTGCATAGAATTCATCTAAAGAATTAGAGTTAAATCAAACTTAAAGAACTTAACATTTATTATATGAGAAGTAAAGTAGATGGGATAATTTTTAATATTGGAGAGGAAAAAAGAAGTGAATCAAATCCTAATCACTTTTGTCTATTAAATTTTTGTTAAATTTTGTATTGTGTTTGAATTTGTTTTGCTCATTTATAAAATATTAAAAATATTTATTATATTTTTCTTTATTTTTTATAAATCATGTCATTCTTTTACATGATAAGCTCCAATACAAATACAAAGAAAAAGTTTTGGTACTTTAGCTCAATTCTAATAGAATCGATTTTATTTATACTCTATAAAATGATTAGTGTACTTACTAGTAGCGTTTACATCTATAAATAGATAAATAAATAATTGCATCAAATTTTAATACTGTTCGTGAAATTGTATTTTCAATATTAAGAAACTTAAAAAAATTTCTAGTTTGAGCATTTTAATTTTATTTTGTTTTCTACAATATCTTGTAATACGTGTTTTCTATTCTTAATTTTATTTTCATTTTATTAATGGTTGAAAGGGTCTTATTAATTTCTCACCACAACAAGGTACCTCTGCAAACTTAAAAATTATTTTGTCAATTTATTTAAATCACTCAAGAAAACTTTTAAAATTGTGTAGCTGCAATTGAATGTATAGTGCAATTATCTGATTATCTTGTTGAAAATTATGAAAGAAACCTTGTTGGGAAGCAAGTCTATACAACAGAAAAATATTGCAAAGTAATCACTACAAAAAGTGAAAAAATAGTGAAAACTCAAAAATAGAAAGAGATTGATGAGAAGAATGAAAACTGAAAAATATTGCAAAATATGAAGAAACTATAGAAGAAGGAACAAGAAGTCATAAATTAATAAAAGAGTCTTTGAAAAGAGGAAGAATTAAAAAAGTTGATAAATAAGAAAGTTAGAACGGTTAAATAGGTTAATCTAACTAATTTAATCCTAATTCATGCGAATTAAGGTTAAAAAGTTCATCATGTGAAAAGTATATAAGGTTAAAAGACTGTTTAAGTAGGTTAGAATTTATCCATATGTCAATTACTTTTAAAAGTTATTATAATTTATTAAAAATATTTATTCTATATAATATTTATTACTATAAATACATAGACAAATCAAAGTGTTTAAAAATAGATCAAAAAATAATTAAATTTGTATAATATTAAACTTTTAGAATAAATTATTATTATTAAATAATATTAAATATAATAATATATATATTTATCTATTTTTTTATATTATTGATAATTATCGAATCATAGTAATATTTTTTATTCATATAATTTTATAAATAAAGTCTTATCATATTATTTAATATTTTATAATATTATTTAAGTATTAACCATAAAATTTTTTTATTTTAATATTTTTGTATTATTATTATTATTTATTTATTTTTATATAATTATTTCAAAAATATCACATGATCAATAAATATTTTTAAAATCACAATAAAAATACAAAGTTAACAACGTTAGTTAAATTTATTAAGTTATTTGTTGTTATCAAACTACTCAAAATTATTTGTTTAAATAAAATTTTATATGTTAAAAAATAAATGCAACACCATAAAAATCATACATATACATATGATATTTAATATTGTTAAATTCGGAAATACAAATACGTAACTTACAAACTTAAAAAAAAATTAATAAATATTTAAGTTTTGTCTCATTTTAATTTAATAGAATTTATTTTTAAAGTAAAATAATTTAATTTGATAGAATTGATTGAATTTTAATTTTTTAAATATATTTTTAATATTTAAAATATAATTTTAAATAAAATAATTTTAAAAAAGTAATAAACAAACACTTATTTTTTCTTAAAATAACATAATAATTATTAATTACTTTTTAAAAAAAGTAGGTAACACACCTCTAACATTTACCTTAACTCACAAGTGTCATTTCCTCAAAGGTAAAGGAAGAAGAAAAATGAGAAAAATTCTCAAAAATTTTGGAAGCATTCCAAAAACTGCATATTAATATTCTTTTTGCAAAAATTCTTAAAGTGATATCATTATATGCTAAGATATTTAAAATGCATCAATACATATTAAATCTTATTCTAGCTAGACATATCCCTTAACTAACTACATATATTGGCAGGTAACTCTTTTTGTCTTTTTTATATTAATCTCACTTTCTTTCTGCAATGTACATAAAAAAATATTGAATCATTAAAAATAGAATGTGACATTACTATATTTGAGGACAAAAAGTAAATTTATCTTAAACTCTTTTATTGAATATTGCTTAACAAACTTCATCTAATGATCAATTACATATATTGGTCATTAATATTTCTATGGTAGATGAAGATTACGTTCATTTGTCTTTTATATGTTTCCTTGTCCTTGTTCAAAAAGCATAGAGATCTTATCTTGCTAAATTAAGGACAAGGTTCTTATGGTTCTCTTTCACTTCAAAGTTTTGCTACATAAACCAAGATTTAATAACTCCTACAACGCAATTTCATTGGTAATAAAAATATTATAAAGTCAATTTTGTTCACTTCTATTTGATCTCAAATGTGGTCCGTTAGATCTGTAAGCATATTTATGCAATCAAAATAAAACAATTGATCAGCACTGTACTTCTAATAAAGTTCACAACAAAATATGAAAATTTGGATTTTTTGTGGTAAATTGGTTGGCCTTTCAAATTTCATCTAATTTATACAATTGAAAGAATTTCTTAAAAATAGAGAAATATAAATTATCTTTAATTTATAAAAGAATTTTTATTCATTTTTTGTATAAATTTATTTTTATATATGAACTTCTAAAAAAATTATCTAAGTGAACCTCAATTGGAAGAATGTTCAGCATGATTCTAGCCAAATGAATAAGAATTTATTTATTTTATAAATATTTAATTTGATCTTTAAGAATTTTTTTATTTATTATTTTACCATGCATCTTTTTTTATTAAGATAAAAAAATGTAATTATTTATTGTTGAATTATTTTAGCTTATTTATTAGAAGAGGATTTTAATCATTTTAAGAAATTTTATTGTAATTATTTACTTTTATTTTGTTTTAATCTTTAATTTAAAAGAGTTTTTTTTTTTTATCTTCACTGAAGTTTGTTTTATTTTATCTCACTTTTAGATATTCAGTATACTTGTATATATCTTATTTATTATCTACTATATCTTTTTAAAGATGAAATGTTATCTTTTGTTTTTATTTTTTAATTAATTTCTATAGTTAGAACTAATTTTTATTTGAGTGATCAAATTTCACATGTTCACATGCATACATACATGTAAGCATACAAGTGTATCTGCATACATTTGCATGCATATATATATATATATATATATATATATATATAATTGTATTTAACTTAGATGAATTAATTGATTTAAATTTTAGTTTAAATTAGGTAAAATTAAACCTAAATAAAATTAAATATTCACAGTTTGTCTCTCTTTATTTATTTTCTTATCAGATAATATAAAGAATTTTAGCCTTTATATATTTACAATAAAAAATCGAGTAAATAGATAAACTAATTTTATTATTTGAGTAAAAGGAGAATATCTTATTAAGTGAATAAGTCTTATTATAGAAATTAAAAAATGTCGTTATAAAGAAGAAAGGATTTAAAAGGTACACTAAAAATTCAAAAGTTGAAACAAAAATATTTTGGCCATTATTGAAAATGTAAGGAATGAAGAATGGAAGTGCCTTACAAAACTTTGAAGCTTTATAAAAAGATTTGATGTCAGCAAAGGGATGGCAATAGGTAGGATATGGGTAGGGTACTATATTAACCATCCTCATACTCGTGTTTTAAAAAAATACACATACCCGTGGGTATAAATATTAATTCTCGTACCCGTACCTTCTAGGTACCCGTATACCCATCTTGTACCCATTACTCGCGCTTGTTTGATAAAAAAATATTTATAAAGAAAAATATGTTTATATAACTTCACATAATTAGCATAATAATACAAAAA